GTACTGACTCGACGCTTTCCCCTCGATTGTGACTTTTCCTGACTTCTGATTAAACACTGGTGCTGGAGCCTAGCAGAACTGGGGCCCAAGCTTTCGGATCTGCTCCTTCTCAGCTCACCCAGGGGATCAGGGCAGCAGCACTGAATTCAGCCATGATGACTGTGGCCGGGACTCAGTCTCTCCGACTTTCTGCTCTCAGGTCTGTCCTGAGACACATATGTGGTGGTGACAATCTCCTTTGTTTACTCCACAGACTTTAGGGTGTCTTCATGGTACCCCGAGTCTCTTGCCTCTGGTCACCCTGTAAGGCTCACTCAGGCAGCTGCCCGGGGCTACACGGTTTTCCCCACGGAAGCTGACTGGGATGCGGGCTGCATGGACAGCATCTCTGCCTTTTAAATGAAGTCCGATAGCAGACCACTGACAGGGGCATGCTGAGTGACTTGCATGCTTAAGTAGGGTTCAATCAGCTATAGTGGAGACACTGGATAAGAGGATGGGTCGAGGGTCATGGGACTTCATGAAGCCGGTAGGGAACTACGGCTGTTTCCACCATGAGAGGATTGGCTGCCATGTGAGGAGAGGCTCCTCAGCCCTGTCTGCTTTCTCTTTTGGAAGCTATCAGGAGCCCTTCAGCTAAGATGAGACGGAACACAGCAAGTCCTCTGTTACAGGAAGTGATTTCCTCTTTAGCATCATTAACACCCTTCCCCTGCTGCTTGCTACCTGCTATCATTCCCTCTTCCAGTCACTAGAAGACAGTGGCACATCCCTGCCCTCCACAGAAACGACATCTTCCAGAGTGAGTAGGGAAGCTGAGCCAAGCTGTGCACCTGCATTTAAAGACAGTTGATTTCCCTTAAGAGAGTGCCAAGCTCAGAGGAACTACCCACTCAGGGAAGCCATTGTCCCCATGGCATCCACAGATGCCTGGTTGACATGCAGTGACAGTTTACTGTGGGCTTTTTTCTGATATCTGCTGGCCAAGTCATTTCAGAAATATGAGAATGGAACAGATCAGGTCGGGGCTCTGTTACGATGAGATTAAAACACATCAACCAACCTCCTATTGATAGAGCTGGAAGTGTTTTCTTAGGAGGAGAAGAGACATTTTATTTTCAGACTTTCATTAAAATGGAAGTGCTATTGGGAAAACTGGTTATTTCAAAGATAGACTACTTGGAGTCTCAGCTTATGCCATATTCCACAGTAAATCCTAAATGAATTCAATGAGAAAAATGTCAACACTTAAAAAAAACTGTAAGAATATTTAGACAAGTATTAAACAGATACTTAGCAACAAAGTCCTCTGCTATTAGTAAAAAAATTGACCCTTACAAGGTGCAAAAAGATGGAAGAAACCATAAAAGAAATGATCGGAAGATATAGCTGTGTAAAATAACAAACTCTAACTCTCTACATAGAGACTGGTTGATTCAGTTGGCAACACAAAGGGGCAGGGAGGAAGCACATCTGTGAGAGCCAAGAGTGAGGTGCGTGTGGTTAAGGAGGCCTGCTGCTAAGTCAGAAGGCCGAGTTCGGTCCTGGGCCCCAGTGGTGGAAGGAGAGAGCTGGATTGCACAAACTGTCCTCTGACCTCCACTTGAATGCCACAGCAATGCTCACATAAAATAGGTACTTGTAAAAATGTTTGAAGTCACATACCCTGTGCATGGCATTACGACCTATTAAAGCAAATTGCATATCGTTATTTCTTTCCTTTGGAATACAATAGCAGAAGCCAGCATGCAGGAGTGGGAGCTAGGTCCAATAGTGAAGCTCAAGAGCATGCTCACAGAGAGTCCACACCCAAAGCTGGAGGACAGGGGAGAATCTCCCCCTTAATTAGCAGAGGGAGAGGGAACTCTGGGCAATGATTTCCCAGATCCCAAATGTACACATCAATCAGTCATAGGGAATTTGGAATAAAGGAAAGAAAATATCCAGAACATGTTGCTAGATTCCTGGGTGTTTACATTTTTTGTTTGTTTGACTCTTGCTCACTGCAAGTTCTGCCACATTCTCCGATAACTTTTTTTCCAGTACTGAGGAGGGAATCGAGGGCCCACCACATACCAGGAAAGCACTGTGCTCCTGAGCCACAACCCAGGTCCTCCCTCCATTTATCTGAATGCTCCCACAGGCTTGTGAGTGACCAGCTCCTGCCATATCACTGCCAATTGAGTTTCCTGACTTAAAGGGACCTGGGGCTGGAGGATTTACAGGCAAGCTGTCCCACCTGGTACCCAGGCTGGTTCCTGGTCTGGTAAAGGAGAGACCTGGCCAGGGTGTAGCCCTTCATTATCCTTTGTTGTCAAAGATGATGCAGCCAATGATGGCACACTGGTGCAGAAAGACAGATGCCAGGACTCTAAGACATGAACATAGACAGGCTGGTGCCTCTAAGGCAGTCTACTGTCTCAAGAATGAGAACTTAGTGGCAGTTTTAGAGATAGACCGGATGGCAACAGAGTGGACACAAAAATGTTTAAAACAGAATTGCTGATTTCTCTGATCTGTGGGGCAGATACACAGGAGTCACAGGAGCACAACCCCCCCCCACACACACACACAACAAAGACCTATTGCATTTTAGGGCGATTCTAAATTGGTTATTTTTCCCAAGTTTGATTTCAACTTGTTTCAAGGTCAAAGCGGATGTAAGCAAATTTACGAGGACAAAAAAGAAGTGAGTGAAAAGAGTTTGGTGTGTGTGTGTTTGTGTGTGCATGTGTGTGCATGTATGTGTGCGTGTGTGTTCATGTGCGTGCATGCGTGTGTATGTTTGTGTGTATGTACGTCTGTGTTATGCATGCATATGTGTACGTGTGCCTGTGTGCATGTGTGTGCACATGCATGTGTGTTATGCATGCACGTGTATGTGTGTGTTTGTGCATGTGTGTGCATGTGTGTGCACTTGTGCATGTGTGTGTGTTATGCATGCACGTGTGTGTGTATGGGAAAGCACGTTGTGCTTCCTTCACAGCTTCCCACCTTTCTTTTTGAAGCAGAGTCTCCCATTAAACATGAAGGACACCCATTTTTGAGGTTCACCTCTTTGGCTCAGTTGGCTGGCCAGCAGGCTCCCAGGATCCTTTTGTCCCATGGCTGTACCTGGTTTTTCTGTGGGTGCTGGGGATTTGAACTCAGGTCTTCTTACATTCACAGCAAGTGCTCTTAACTACTGAACTGTCTCTCTAGTACAGGCAATAGCTATCCACCTAGTTAGTCGGCTTCTTAAAGAAAGGAAATAATAGGAAAGTTTTACCATATAAAAATTAGGTATTATTTGGCTACCAGTGAAATAGAAAGTGCTCAGGATCTTCTAAGGATGGAACTCAAGACTCAGCTATAGGTCACAGTGTCAGGAAAAATTGAACTGCCCAAGGACACAGAGGCTGCTTGCGCTTTAGACATACGGGTTTGTTGGTCTGTAGTTTCCTCTCTGTGGGCCAATTACAAGTACACTGCATGGGATCCGAGCCTGCCCAGAGCTGGGATGCGGCAGTGTGCAGAGCAGAGCTGAGTCAACACCATGGCCGTGCAATGGCCCATCTGTGCTCTGCTCCTACTTCTTCGAAATTTTACCAATGTGCTCAGATTTTACCTCCAGCTACTTCAAATTTAACCTGCCATCTGCCAACGATGTGTCTCTTTCCTGTGGCTGGATGCTACAAGGGCACTGTTCAATAGTCAGGCCAGATCCTTAGGGTCCATTCACGTTGGTCCTCTTGGATCAGGACAGTTTGAAAGGTAGTGGTGGCTATGGAGTGGGGCACAGGCTTTGTTTATAGCTCTCAACTGGGAGCTTAAACCTCGACATTGATGTCAATTCTACTCACTGCTTCCTGGGGAAATAAAACCCTGATGTTTACTTGCCCAGGGCTTATGACAGCATGTCTGGACCCTCTTTGTATTAATCACAAATAACTATCCAGTCTGAATAGGCCAAGTGTAGTCCTCACCCCTTAACCCTCTTGAGGATGTGATAGGGATAAATGATAGGGATAAACGGGACAGGTAGGCCACTGCTACTTTCCACATCCATTAATGTGATCAAGACAGTCCCCACCCCAGACACATCCACAGAGCAACTTGTTCTAGACACTTCCTAGCTGTCATTAGATTGTATCAACCTGAAAAAACAAAACAAAACAACCATCACACCATCCAAGCTCCTGGGCTCTCCTGGGCTCCAGATGAACTCAGGGACTCTGTGTAGATGTGGCTTAGGGTCTAGCTGCTGCAGCAGTTCTGTCCTGTATGTAAATGGGAACTGTTTCCTTGACTTAGTTGGACTGGGGCTACCCCGATTTTCTATACTCTGCAGAAGACGCCAGAGGGGGCACTCAAAGTGGCTTCTGAGGTGGAAAGGGGGAGGAGGCCAGGGGCCAGCTGCAAAAGGGCAGCCGCGCTACTTTCTGGAGGGTCCCCTCGGTGAAGCTGCTGTCAGGGAGATGGGTCTTGGTTGTGTTTTGTAGCCACAGGTAATTGACATTTTCCTTCTGCTTTGACAAAGACTTGAGTTTTCCGATTTGTCTGTTGCTTTTCCAGGAAAGCTCACCTAAATCGGAGCTCCACAGCTGGGAGAGGGGCACTTTCTAGCTTCCCATCTTTGGGTTTATGGATATAGTGCTGAAATTGCGCCTGTGCCAAAAGTGCCCAGCACCAGGTTTGGGTGGTGTAACACTGCTTCACAACCCTTGGGGATGTGAAACAGTGCTGTTGAAATTATATGACTATGATAGGCCGAGCTACTTCTGAAACACACAGGGAGAAAGAAGTAAGACTTTCTTACGGGGGGGGGGGGTAATCCACCCAGTGAGATACCCGGCACCAGCTCAGGACTGACATGCACAAAAGCAAGTCTCTTAGTGAGGTGTGCGTCCTGGCTCCCGGGGCAGGCATGTAAGCTAGACTTTATGGCTACTTGAAGAAGGCTCACCACCACCCAAAGTCTGGAAAATGGTGAAAAGAGCTCCAGAATACCATCTGCTCACCAATTTTACTTCTTGTTTCATTTATACTTTCTCCCAGAGCCTTTGCTTCAGAAAATCTGGAGGAGGGAAAAAAAAATGAAGACAATTTTAAATTTTTGCTGGTCATATTATGTTTGAAAAAAATAAGAGATGTCTAAGAGGTTTCAAGAATGTGGTGATGACAAAAGAAAACTGAAATAAGCTTAGTATGGTAGGATTATAAAAAGATGACATTTGTAGGATTATATTTACTGTAAAATATGAGTCTATCTCACACCAAGTTTCCAGTTAGAGCAATGGCTCGGTGGTTAAGAGCCTGCACTTCCACAGGACCCGAGTTCGGTTCCTTAGCACCCACACAGCGGTTCCCAACCATCTGTAACTCCCGTTCGAGGGGACTCAACACCCTGTTCTGGCATTGCATGCATGTGCTATACATACTATATGCAGTCTTAAAGCACCCATACATACAAAATAATAATTAAAATTGTCCTTACATTTTCTAATGAATAAATTCAATTTCTGATGTTTTATTGGAGCAAGGGTCCAGAATGAAGCATGAAGGTGAGGCTTCTCTACCGTGATCTGTCAGCCATGTACCAGCCTCATCGTCAAAGAAAACATTCTTAAATAACGTTGACTTCCTGACATCCAATAGTCGAGCAGAAGTCAGCCACTGGTGGCCACTCGTGAGGCAAATCGGGGCTACTTCCCAGTTTTGTGAATAAAGTTTTATTGGGATGCATTCACCCATCCATCACCACTTCATCTATAGAGGCTTCTAAGTTACCACAGCTGAGTGGAGAGGATGTGACAGGGACTGTGTAGCTTGTGGAACAAAAACATTTTACCATTTGACCCTTTACAGAAAATGTTTGCTGCCTCTGTGGCAGATGACTATTAAAGCAGATTTTGAAGATACAATTTAAGAGAGAAAAACAAAAACCACAATAACCCCCAAACCAGAAATAAATATGTTCTGATATGCAGATATGTCTAGTCTTTTCTCCAGCTCATTTTACAAAGCTCCAGAGACGCCCAGCGATCTTTTTTGTGAGGAGAACCCAGGCCTTGGTAGGAAAGTGGTGTAAGTTCTTCTGTCACTGCTGATTTCTGCGCCTGTCTGGGTGGCCTGGGACTATGCACAGGGAGTTCCAAGGACGAGAACTGCGTTTTCCTGCAAGGCTGGGCGGCTAAGGACCCCACCCTGGCTCCTTCATGGTCATTCATGTCTTCTCAGGGTGGGCCTGTCACTTTGCAGGGATCAGTGCGGAGGTGTCTGGTGAAACTCAGGCTTGATCTGCTCGGCAGACATCCATGGGATGTGTGGAAGGAAGCTCCATGTGCTGTGTGCATGAATCTTAACCAGGCAGGACAGGAGCCTTGTACAATATGCTGAGCTAGGAGCAGAGATCTTGCCCTGGAAGCAGTAACCTCAGACAATGGAGACTGAGGTCATCCTTCACGCAAACCAGTGTAATAGAAGAGGTCCCTGCTGATGGATGTTAGGGGCTTCGGCGCTGAGGCCAGCTTCTTCATCATCAGAGATTACTCTGGAGCCAAGAGTGATCATGGCTTGGGAACACGGATTTAAGTTACCCAACGTGGAAGACATTTTATGAACTTTTTAAATAATGGCAACAGGACAAAGAAAACTATAAATGAAGGTATTTAAAAAAATATCTTGGTGGAGACATCAGAAAGATGGGTTATAGTTGGGTAGAGGATGCTATCTGACGACAGTTTTAGCTCTCCCATTGGTGGAGAATGGTTTTGTTTTAAGTTAAGGCTTCCCAAGCGTCTTTCACTGTTTATTAGGAGGGTGGGTCTGACTCAGAGGTGTGTTAGGCTAAAGATTGCTCTCACCTACAAGGCTCAAGAGTCTTTCCACATCATCCAAGTTTTAATCAGTCAGTTTCCCTGTGCAGAGCTTCTTCTCAGAAATCCTCATGCACAGTGGGCATGTAGCGGCCATAGCTCTATGGCAAGCCTCTTCCTCACTCACCTCACTCACTGCCACCTTATTTTGGAGCTCCCAGATTTGGCTATGCTGACTCCCTTGTGAGCTCCAGGGTGTTGCTCAGCTCTGCCTCCTCCATGCAGGGGTTACAGCCTGTGCTTCACCCAGTCTTCCCTAGGTAAGTGACCCAAACTCAGACCCCAGGCTGTGCAGTCATTTTATTGTGATGCAAACCCAGTCTTCCCTTCCCCTGCATTCCTTTTACAAACTAGGGCTCCACTTCTGGGTGTCCCCACCTGGCCTGGTGACAGTCAAGGCCTCAGCCACTTCCCACTGCCCCTGTGCTCTTCCTGGAGGCTACAGTGAATCTTAAGCAGCTTCCTTGACTGCTAAGACTCCTCTGAGACAATTTCAAATAGGCATTCTCAAACAAAATAGTTCTCTGAGGAGCGGTGTGTGTGTCCGTATGTCCATGTGTGCCAGGGGTACTGAGAAGATTCTAATCTAGTCTCTGCTCTCAGAGTTTATAGTTCTAGTTCAGCAGACAATGTACAAATATAAAAATAAAATGGAAAAATAATAAAGGTTAAACCTGCAGTCTAATGGGAACTGGGGAGCCCCTATTTGTCAAGGATAGCATTTCTAGATGGTGCCCCGTGATGTGATTTCCCTTAGCCTGCCTCTTCTCTGCTGCTGCTCTAGACTGCTGTTCTAGTCTATGGTAGAAGGATCCAACTGAGTAAAGGGTGCTTTTCTTGGTTTAGCTCATGTTATTAACGCCTTGATTTCCAATTGCAGTTAGTCTCCCTGTTCATTTCCTCTTTTGTTACTTAATGGGGACTCTGTGGCTGAAGGGTTCAGTTTGTAAGACACTTGACACAAAGAAAAGCTCCCTTGTGCTTTGCTTGGGCCCTGGCATTTACAGAACATAGGAATAGCAATTACTCTCCACTGGGAAACCCTCCAATGAGGGATTGGTTCATACACTGTAGGCCAACGAAGGGCAAATGTTCTGTTAAGGCGACATTTTATTTCTCTCATCCCATACAGGCAGCTGGACCTCCCCAGACCCGGGACAGCACCCAGGCATGCTAGAGAGTCCATGCTAGAAATGTACACATGAACAGGGAACCGAAAGCCCCCTGTTAGGTGGCATGGGGCAAATGGGCCACCCATGTACCCTCCTGAAACCCCACACTAGGCCTTATACCCCAGGGGGGGGGAAGTGGAGAGAATGGGAGAGGATTCTGGGATAGCAACAATCCTGCCGTTAGGGATGATTATCTCCGGCTATGGATTAGAGGAGATTGGTTTGGTGTCAAGCAATTCTAGTCTCGACATGCCAGAACCATCAACCAGATGTGAGACAAGGGGAGTAGGGTGGGTGACCAGCCCAGTAGGTCCTGGGTGCTGAGGGTTATTTGAAGGGTGAGAACTCCTGGAGGGTGAGAAAACTGAATGTCAACCGGAACCCCAGACCACTTCCAGTCTCTCAGAATTCCTGGGACTGACACTTAAGGGTGTGGGTCCTCCCTGCCACTAGGGAGCGCTGGAGCAAATATTTGGAAGGGATCAGTACTACCTGAAGAGTGTTTCTACATCAGGGCCTTGGGAGTCACCCCTCTGAGTGGCTGAGGATTTATTTTTGCATCTTCTGGTGGAACACTGGGTTTTTATAAAATGATATTTTCTCTCAGTCCTCTGCTGTAGGTACCTGCATGTGTGATGATTGGCCCTTGTCAGTTGACTGGGTGTGTGCATGTCTGGAATCACCCAGGAGACACACCTCTGCGTATCTGTGAGGATTACATGAGGAGGGAAGACCCTCTTTAAAAGCTGGCACCATTTCCCTGTGTTAAAGATGTTCTGGGAAAAGACAGCAAGCGTGGCTGCCACCGATTTTCGCCCACTGATACTCCAGCTTCTTCTGCCTTCCAACATGAATGCACTGCCGATGACTGTGAGATCTGCAGGCTGTGGTCTTGGGCTGGGGCTGCTGAGGTATCTGGTTTTGTTAAATGCCCAGACTCTTCAGTGTGCAGATGGATGCTGTTAGATTCCCCAGATTGTATCTCGTACACCAATCTAATAATTCCCCTTTGTGATATGTATTCATCCATTCTGTGTTCCCGGAGAGACCCCACCTGACATGACCAGTAATCTACCAACTGAATAATCTCTGTGAAATGAATAAGAGCGTGGGTCCAGAGAGAAGGTGAGGCTCCAGTTGGTAACCCATTGCCTCTTGGCACGAAGCACTTCCTTAATAATGTCAATTATATTAACAGATCTAGAACTTCCTTTTTAGAATGGGCTGGTCTCCTGCCTTTTTGTTGGATTTATTGCTGGCCAGACCTCTTTTCAGAGAGCTTCCTGTGAGTCTTGTTCTTGTTAATTCCTTTGCATCATGGCCAAGAGGATGATGGGAGCATTGGTAGTTCTGCCCACCGTGGGCAGACAAGATGTGCTTCCAGTAAAATGGCTGCTTGGGTTGTCAGAACTCTACCGTCTCTATGGATAAGCCTTTGAGAGGCTCACACATACTCACTTCCCCATCAGAAACAGGTCCAGACTCAGAGACAAGCCTAAACCAGCCAGGAGCCACATGATTTTAAAGAAGGAAAAATGAAGTACATCTGCCTTGTCGGTGGTTTTTAAACTTGGGTATACAAAGTACCATTGGTGTGTGTGTGTGTGTGTGTGTGTGTGTGTGTGTGTGTGTGTGTCCACACTTCTAGGCAGAGAGTCTTCGGTTCTTCTCAGAGTCACTCAGTTCCTCCCTAGCCTGGCTTTGGTCATTGACTCTGATTGCTGTTTAGTCCCCCACCCCCATTTCTAATCCCTATGTGTGGTGCATGTGCATGTGTGTGTTGGATGTGAGTATGTGTGTGTATGGGCAGAGGAGGACAATCACCATGTTATTCCTTTGAGACAGCGTCTCTCCCTGAATCAGCTGTGCTGGCAGCCAGCAAGTCCCAGGATCTTCCAGTTTCCCACCCACAGCACTGGAGTGAGTGGTGCTTGAGTGGCCAAGTCCAGAGTTTGACATGGGTGCGGGGATCTGAAATTAGGCCCTCATAATTAACTATCAATCACTCTTAACCAGTATCTAACCCCTCCCATTTGTTGGGTACACTCAGGTGGATCTTTTTGTATGGGAGTCTCTGGTTTTGGGGTAGTCTATTTGTAGGCTTTTAGAATTGTGTTTCCCCCTTTAAGATCTGCCCTGGTGATATGCAAGCACATAATCCATCATCCCTTCCCCACACCATGCTACATCCTAATCCACGGAAATTCTGTTGTATTACTGTGATGGGCAGATCTTGGAGTCCCCCAAGCCCAACCAACAGAGAGTTCGAATCCCTCATGCAGAAGCAAAGAGCCTTTATTCAAGTTCAAGCTTGGACCCTCCATGTGTCCAAGGCATTGGTGCAATCAGAGAGCCTCAGGCTCAGTTGGGGTGGGGTTTTTATCATGGCACAGGTTGGGGTGAGGAATTTCTAAGATTCAGGAACCCTGATTGACTGACCTTTATCAAGGGTGTCTTGGTGAAAGGGGATGGGTGTGTGCTGGGCTAAGGGACATCTGGTGATCTTGTGTACCATGGTTGGAGCATTTCCTTTGGAAACGCAGGTATTTCCCCCTTGGATGATGATTGGTCCGTTCCTGGGGGGGGTGCCAGGGTGGTCCCAGTTTGTGCTCTTTCCTTAAGGTAAGCTGAAACTCAGACCTACATTTTGCTTGGTCTCTATTGAGTCTGTCATGGCAGCAGTGTAGCCAAGCAGCAGGTGTGTACCAAGCTGCCCTGGGCCCTACATTACCTGTCAGCTGATCAGTGCCGGGACCTAGCGTATGTTCAGCTATCCCCAGCTACAAGAAGTGTAGCCAGCTGCGAAAGTTCTCTAGATGCCCCCTTAGGAGGCCAGGTGACATATTTACCCCAAACAGAATTGACAGGTCATGCACAGGGTAGTGGTGGTGCCCGCCTTTAACCGAAGCACTCTGGAGGCAGAGGCAGGCAGATCTGTGCGTTCAAGGCCAGCTTGGTCTACAAAGCTACACAGAGAAACCCTTGTCTCAAAAACTCAACAAGCAAACAAACCAGAAATGGCAGGTCACAAGGTGCACACACACTGCCCTGGGCTGCATGGATCTGGACTGCTCTCCGGGATGCTGGACCTGAGTTGTGTTACTGGATCCCTGAGGAGATCTGACCCTGCCCTGGGGAAGCAGCTGTCAGTTTGGGGTTGTCCCTTGGTCCTTCCCTGTCAAGTCTCTCCTCCCTCCCTGTAATAGCTATGTTAAACCTTCATCTCTCTCCTTAGGCCTCTCATCTACTCCAACTCTTTATCTTACCAAAAAAAAAAATGGAGGACCTAAGAGTATAATTTGGTCTATATATTAAAAATCATGTGTGTATATACTAGGGGTCAATTCCATTGTTTTCTATATTATACTTTTTTTTTTTTTTTTTTTTTTGAGATGCTGAACATGGAACTCATCTATCTGCCTAGACTGGCTGGCCATCAAGACCCAGACAGAGACCCTCTCTCTCTGCCTTCCCAGGGCTGGATTACAGGTGCACAGTGCTGGTGACAGGAACTCAGGTCCCCATGCTCACACAGCAAGCACTATACCCACTGAGCCCACTCCCCAGCTTGACTCATCTCCTCCTGAAGATTCTAGAGGCATTTGTAAGAGTCCTAGGCTGGTGAGAATACATACACAGTGAGCTTTGCCCACAGGGCTAACGCTGTCAGTAGCAGACAGACCCCTGACCTCCATGTGGCTTACCCCGGGAGTACTGGGATGGTGAAGCTCACGCATGAAAGAGAATTGTAGCAGGGTACACACAGCGAAACGTGAACTTCCTCACATTAACCTCTCTTGCAGACATTAGGCTGACCAGCTAGAAGGCCAGGGTAGGAAGTCTGGGACGGGCCTACCTAAGCCCGGGGGGTGGGGCGGGCAGCCACTGACTGGATCTTACCTCTGCTTCAGAATCTGTTTATTGTCATCGATGGTGACACTGTCAGCGTGGTCCCTCTTGAAAATTTCGAAAGCCTCCTGGCGTCCTAGTGACATTTCCTCTCTCATTCCTATTTGGAGACACAAGGGGATGGCTTTAGTCACATCAACAGGATGCCATTAATTTCATCGCCACTTTATTCAGATCATAAAGCTGGCCTGGGCTCCCAGCAGCCTGCAGCAGAGAGGCTGTGGCCAGGCAGGTGGTGGGAGGCTGTGCCTGTGAGAAGACAGGACTTAAGGGGTGGGAGTTGTACTCGGAATGCCTGGTCAGAGGAAATGAGAACCAGGCCTCCAAACCCCAGATGGCGAGCACATCTGTGAATCTACTTCCTGCCATCTCTTGGTGGCACAGCTCTTCCTGTTTTCCACGTATGCCCCATGTTGGGTCATTAAATGTCTCTCCGAATCTCCAGGCATTTAGTAACACAAATTAGAGTCCAACTTGAAAGCTACAGAATCTAGAAGGTCCTGCTCTTAGCTCTAGCTCCTCTTTAACAATCCAGCCTTACTTCCTGTGGCCGGTGAAGAGGGTCTTCGTCATCAGCCAGGAGTTAGTTATATGCTCCACCCTAAAGCCCATGGTGGGAGGTCCCGAGTTTATGTCCAACTTTAACACTCTAATTTGCCACTGGGCCTCGCAAGCCAACCCTCCCAGCATGACTCTGGTATTGGCACAGATTGGGAAGCAGAGCCTCAGAAGGGAGGCTCTTTAAGGATGCAGGGGGCTTCTTGCCCCAGCTTCCCTGGAGCAGCCTGCAAGGCAGTGGTCAACACAGGTGTGTACTTGGGTCCCTGGGGAAGCCTCAGAGACATCTACAGGCTTTTGTCTTTTGAGAAGGGATCTGGTGTAGCTCGGGGTGACCTTGGTTGTGCAGCAGAGCCAAGGACGATCGATCATGCATTCCCCACCCTCCTGCCTCTACCTCCCAAGTACTGGGGTTAAGGAGTGTGCCACCACACTTGGCTGCGCTAGAAAGGGAACCCAGGGCTTAGTGCATGCTAGGCTGTGGGTGCCCTACCCCGATCAGCCGTGCACACCGCACCCCGGCACCGGCAGTCCCAGGGAGCAGAGGGGCTGGAGAGTGGGTCTCCAGTGCTGGGGATGAGTGACCCAGGAGATGATTTCAGAGGGCAGCTCACTGAAATGGAGGGTGGGGGTGGGGTGGGGTGGGGGAGGAGAAGAGGCCCAGGGAAGGAGTACTGCAGTTCAGGGATGGGGGGGGGGGTTAGGGGTGGGGGTGAGGAGGGGTGCACACAGATTAGCAGACTGCTGGTCACATGCTTTCTAAGTAGCTGGTTCCCTGGGGAGAGGGGAACAGATCAGATACCAGAGCCTGACTGGCTTATCAGGATGGGGCCCTTGTCTCTGTGGAGTGGGGTTAACCCTCCCACCCCTGCCTGATTTGGGTAGGGTGTGCTCTCTGACAGATGTCTGGGGTATGGATAACACTCTACTGTCCCTCATCATGCTTGGGAACTCACACTAGGTCAGCGCTCCTTTATTAAAAAAAATAAAAAGCCATTCCATTCCCCTCCCCACCCCTGACAGAGTCCAGCAGACACAGTCTGCCCATGGCATGCCTTTTCAGTGAAACACAAATTCCTCCAGGACCACAGTTCATATCTTTATCGGCCTCCCCGTGCTTGGTTCTTGGTCTATGTGTGTCAAGGTCACAGGGCCGGAAGTGGGTGCGATGAGCCTGTTATGATTACAGGAACACAGTCCGGGGCTGGTGTGGGGCATGGTGAAGCCTGGCCTTTGAGAGGCACATTCTTAGTGGCCTCATACAGCACCCCTCCTTCCTGGAAAGAACTCTGCTATCTCCTGTCCTCAGCTTGAGGAACTGGACCAGCCCATCTGACACCAATTTCATGATTGCCATGGTAAAAATAGCACCAGGAGGAATGTCTGGATGGTGATGCGGTGATGCGCATGGCACCCCACCCTCTTTAGTCATGGCTCGTTTCTGTCTCCATCTGTCCCACACACTCCTGAATCTGCTGGGAACTGGTTGGCGTGAGATTCACCAGAGCTTTGGAGATATTGACATGGGGCGCATCTCCCCAGTGGAGCCTGACCTCTCCTTTATCTCCAGGCTCTGCTCAACTGTAACACTACGCTTTGTGCAGTAGAGTTAGCCCCACAGACAACACACTGGCGCTTTCTGTGGGACCCTCTGGCTGTCTCCCCCAGAAGCTCCACTCCTCAGGCTGTAGCAGGGCAAGCTTTAGGGCCTGGTCCCTTCTCCCTCAGATCCTGCCTTCTTTGTTACGAATGCCCATGGCATTCTTGAGGTAGTAAGTCTGGAGAGAACTTGTAATCATCTGGACAGCGTCTGGGTTGTCCTGGAGAAGGGTTGTAAGAGCAGGAAGGATATGAAGGGTACATCCTTAAAGAGCCTAGAAGATTCTGCTGAGAAACTTGGAGCCATTAGTGTAACGTGGCAAATATGAATCCCTGTTTCTAAGATCAGACAACTGAAAAGACACGAACATGCTTGGCCTTACCCCCTGGAAGATGGCACCAGTGTTCCTATCATCCTGGGGAATGCATTTTGGAATTTGGGTGGTTTGACTGTGGTGACCATGGCTGAGTGGACACAGGTGCACACAGCTGGAACTTGGCCACTCACTTTCCAAGCCCTGAGGACAATACAGTAGCCAAAGACAGCATCAGCAGCTTATCTAAAGGGGAAGCCAGCCTGCATTCTGCAGACTTCCAGGAAGGCTGCTGCATGGAGCATGCTACCAAAGGTCCTTGAAGAGGCCTGAGGGATGGACACCACAAGCAGCTGATGTGTGTATGCGAGAGCCTCATTTCCATCTCAGCTTTCCTCCTGCAGCCCCTCCCTTCTCTTACTTACACACTATATCTACCTCTTTTCAGATTATACAGATACACTCAACCTCGGTCATCCCCCAAGTTAAAGAACAACTTTCCTCTCCAGAAGAGTCCTTTCTGCTTTGTTTTTCCTCATTGGGCTTAGGAAATGTGCTCTTCCTTCTGCGAGCAGCTCTTGCCTTAAACACACATCGGAGTAAGGGAGCAGACTGTATCTGAGCGCTCATCTTGCGGAGGGGACAGACACCCATTTCTTCCCTTGAGAGGTGTTTGTTTATCTTTAGCATGGTGTTAGGCACGCAACAGAGGTGTGTAATTGGACGGCGGATGGTGATGTTTAAAGTGCCCAGAGCCTAGCAGAGAGAGAGAGAAACAGATAATTGCACTGCAGCTTGCTGGACTACTGAGAGAGAAGCAGGGAAGGCATCTGCTGTGAGAGAGGGGAAAAGCTGTTGGGAGATGCATGCATCCTCCAGGATGGTGCAGCATCTGTTCTGGACCCAGGGGAAGGGAAGACAAAGGGTGTTCAAGGTTATCTTCAGCTATACAAGGAGTTCAAGACCAGCTTGAGCTATATGCTGTGCTGGAGACCAATACTTATGGACGACTTTGAAATCATGATGCTGCCTCAGCCTCCCAAGGGCTAAGTTATGGATGTTCCCCCACCACACCCAACCCATGGCTTTTGCTTTGGTGGGGCACACTGTGACACTGCAGGTGTGATGCCTGTGTCCCTGGACTTCCCTCTAGCACCATGCCTCTGGGTAGGTTCATACTGTATAGCATATGAAGTTGAAATTCATTCTTCTCCCTACTACAAATCGCCATGCCTTATAACTCACTGGTAGCCATGAACTTCAGCACAAGAAGCGTTTACACAAGTACAGCTTGGAAGTGCCACGATTTCAGGAAGGGCAAAGAGAGATCCTGTAGTTGGTTCTGCAAAACACAGAATGGCCCCGGTCTCCATCCCAGTATTTCACACTCAGTTCCTCACTGAGGCCTCTGGAGCTCTCACCTGTGTGTTTTCCAGAACTTTGTTCACTTATGGGGATTGTAGGTCCCAACACCAAAGAGCAGAAAATGCGGATGGCTATGAGAAGCTTTATGGCTTGGTGAGCCACCGTACTACTTAAACCAGACAGTAGTGTCTCCCAACACAACACTGCATTTTCAGGTGGTTAGCTGGAAAAGATTTCCAAGTCCCGAAGACAGAGTACTGCTCTAGTTTTCACAGTGATTAAGAGGGCTTAACTGGAAAGGACAGCCACTGAAGGATTCTTAACAGTGGTCTTGGGGGTTTGAAGGCATCTGCTCTTGAAGGCATTCAGTTATACACTGGTGTCCTACCCTCTTCTTATTTAAACATTTATTTATTTTAAATGTTTGTTTGTGTGTCTGTGTACCATGCGTGTGCCTGGTGCCGACAGAGGTCCAGAAGAGGGCATCGGATCCCCTGGAACTGGAGTTAGGCATGGTTGTGAGCCACCATGTAGGTGGTGGGAACTGAACCCGAATCCTCAAGAAGAGCAGCCAGTGCTCTTAACTGCAGAGTCATCTCTCCAGCCCGCTTGCCCCCTTCTTAATGTTCTCCTTTGTTATCATCCTAAAATTGATTACTTTGCTACAGGGTACTGCTCAGAGCATTTGGAAGCTCTCCCCATGCTCACACAGGGTCCCACGGGAATGAGTGGAAGGAACATGCGGGGGATGTGGAGAACCCTGCTTCCGTCTTGGGCCTGCTGTTTGGTTTCCTTTAGTCTGGGGCATGTGGACCTCAGCTTATTTTCCTGGCTGTTCTCACACGACTGATTACGGCTTAAGCTGTTGCCTCAACACTGACCAAAGTAAAAAGATGAAGGCTTATGTTACCCATGCTGAAAAGAGATTTTGTGCATAGAGAGCCAAAAATATATTTTCTTTGGGAGCCATGTCTTCATGCAGGGCTCCGGTTCTCTCTGACTGAAGAGAGGGATGAGAAGAAGACCAATAGGAAGTGTTGAAAAGTATAGGGCAGAGGGTGGTGGCTTCCAGAGGGAGAGAGGGTTTGGAGTGTTTGGTTCAGTGCTAGGAAACTTTTATGTGGTCAGTAACAGAACAGCTCTGATAAACTATGCCAGGTCACAGGCAGGCATGGAATATACGTTTGTATAATATCAAATGTAAGCTTTTCAGTATTTATTTGTAATTTATGTGTATGTGTATGTACGCGAGCAGTGCCAAAAGGCCAGAAG